AAAATAGTGTAGTAAAAAGAAGAATATCATATTGCAAAAAAAAAAAAAAAAGGCTCAGACTATACTAAATAAAAATAGTTTACCAAAATACTTTTGGATCGAAGCCGTTAACACTACTTGTTATATTGTTTATAGAGTTTCAATTAGTCGAAAGAAAACACAAAACCCCCTATGAGTTTTGAAAAAATAGAATTTCAAATAGTAGTTATTTTAAGTTTTTGGTTGCGAATGTTTCATTTTGAATACAAAAGAAGATTTTGAAAAATTTAATTCAAAATTCGATATTGGAATCTTTCTAGTTTTTCATCAATTAGCAAAGAATCCATGTATGTCACTTTCGATAAAACTAACATTCTTGATCCTGCGAAAGGTATTACTAATGATGTAGGATCGGAAACTCATTTTAAACAGATGACTATTCAAGATCAAAATAAGGAAGATGCACGAAATGAACACTCCTATGAGCTCATCAATCAAAATGAACAAAGATAATTAAGGTACTTCCATAAACATAACAAAATATCGAGGTATAATCGGATCTCTTCTTTACTTAATCGCAAGTAAACTCGACATTATGTTTAGCGCGTGATGATGTGATAAATTTCAACTCAATACTCAAGAATCACACCTTAGTGCCATAAAGCGAATTTTAGATATCTTAGTAGCACTAAGATATTACATCTAGCACCCAAAAGAAGGATATTGTATTCGAATTTGTGAATACGAAGAATCAATTCATCAATATTTTTACTAAACCTCTAACACTTGATATATTTTCATATATTTAGGTTTGAGAATTATCAAGGACGTCCGGATGAACTGGACCGTCCGGATGTTTAGATGGATGATCCGAACGTCCAATTCATCCTCAATAGTAAGCTTTTTGACTGTTCTGACCGCAACGGCTAATTGGTCATCCGAATGAGTGGCGGACATCCGGATGGTCGCCTGGTTGGGCAAAAAAAATTTACTTTTTGATTACTATAAATACCACTTCACTTTGCATTCATTATAACAACTAGAAGAATGCTTTCTTGATAAATATATTTG